TCTCTCTCTCTCTCTCTCTCTCTCTCTCTCTCTCTCTCTCTCTCTCTTTTAACAGTTGTCTACATTTCTACGGTTACCTCAATTCTAATGAAGGAGCTGAAGAGATGGCCAGCGGTTCTTGCCGCTCTTCCAGAGAACCCAGATTCGGATAACAACCACCGGTAATTTCAGTTCCAGGGAATCTGACGCCCTCTTCTAGCCTCTGCTGAGGCTGCAGGTATGTGGTACACGTAGAAACATGCAGGCAGATCTCCCGTGTGTGTGTGTGTGTGTGTGTGTAAAATAAAACTTTACACCTACAGAGCTTAGATTAACCCCTTTGAAAGTAGAGTTGGCAAAGGACTGGCTCCCAGTCCACTCCTGGTTTCTGTTTTTAGTTTTTGAATTACTTCTTTTATATTTTTGAGAATATAATTACATTGCTTCTCCCATCCGTTTCCTCTCTTCAAACCCTCCCAAACATCCTTACCCGCTTTCAAATTTGTGGACTCTTTCATTAATTGTTATTACATGCATATATGTATGTACGTGCATATATACACATTTCCAGATATAACCTGCTCAGTCTGTATAACGTTACTTGTATGTTTTCAGAACTGGGTATCTGGTGTTGGATAACCAGTTAGTATGCTTTACCCCCAGGGAGTTCTATTTCTCCCACTCAACATTCCTTAGCTGTTGGTAGTTCTTTGTGCCCGTTGACGTCTCCCATCCACTTTGGCCTATTTATTGTACTAGCCTTTCACTTCCTTGGTTAAATCTTTCTCTCTCAAATCTTTCTCTCTCTCATACACACAGAGGTTAAGTGGAATTATTTTCCTGATTTTATTTGATTTATTTTTTTTAAAGATTAATTAATTAATTATTTAATTACATATATAGTGTTCTGCTTGCATGTATACTTGCAGGCCAGAAGAAGGCACCTGATCTCATTACAGATGGTTGTGAGACACCATGTGGTTGCTGGGAATTGAACTCAGGACCTCTGGAAGAGCAGGCAATGCTCTTAACCTCTGAGCCATCTCTCCAGCCCCTAGTTTCCTGATTTTATACTTGGTAGTTTGTCATTAGTATGTAGGAATGCTACTAATTTTTGCGTATTATGTATTCTGCTACTTTACTGATGTGTTTGTCAACCATAAGAGATTTCTTGTGGTGTCTTTAGAGCCTTTTATATCTAGAGTCGTATATGCAAATAAAGATACTTTGACTTCTTCCTTCTCTGTTGTCTCCTTCACTTGTCCTATTGCTCCAACTAAGATTTTATATACATTCTTGTTTTGTTCCTGATTTTAGTGAAAATGCTCTGAGTTTTTCTGTGTTTAGCCAGATGTTGGCTGAGGAAATCTGTGTGTTGCCTTTATTATGTAGAGATACGTCACAGATACTCTAGAACTTTCATTATGAAGATATGTTAGATTTTTGTTAAAGGCCTTTTTTGCATCTAATAAGATGATCATATACTTTCTATCTTTTAGTGTGACTATGTGGTGGATTACTTTTCTATCTTTTAGTTTGTTTATGTGGTGGATTTACTGACTTACATATGTTAACCCATCCTAGCATCTCTGGAATGAAACTAATTTGATCATGGTGATCATTTTGATTTTTCTTAAATTCAGTCTGCAAGTATTTTTATTGAGGATTTTTGCATCCATGTTCAACAGAAATATTGGCCTGTAATTTTCTTTCCTTTGTTGCTGTTGTTGGCTCTTTTTCTGGTTTTGGTATCAGACTAATAACTTTGTAAAAGAAATTTGGAAGTGTTTCTTCCGTTTGTACTTTACATATAATTTGAGAAGTATTGGTACTAATTCCAATGTGGTAGAATTCTGCATTCAATTCATCTGGGATTTTGTTTTGTTTCATTTTTAACTTTTTATTGATTCTTTGTGAATTTCATATCATGCACTCCAACCCCATTCATCTCTCTGTCCCTCCTTATCTGCTCTGCAACCTCTCCTCCTAAAAGAAAGCAAACACAAATCTCACTGTAGAATCTGCAGTGTGTAATGGTGTGTAACATAGTACACCCTTTTGCTTAAATAGCTTTACCTAACGTATGTTCATTGCGATGAGTCATTGGTCTGGTTGGCGGTCTCTGGCTTCTGCCACACTATCAATATTGGGTCCTCACCAGAACTCCTCTAGGATATCCTGTTGTTGCCCCGGGTTGCGGAGATGCTGCAGCTTTGGTTCTGCAGGACCGCTCTCTTCACCTGCTTCAGCAGGTCATAGATGGGGTAGTTGTTGGGGTGGGCCAACTCAAAGCCCTGGATCTGGGCCTGGGTGGTAGCTGAGCTGGTCAGTCCACCCCCTCTCCCGCAGCTACACAACCAAGGGCAGCTCTCCTGCTTTGCCCAGGGGAGCAGTGTGGTTAGTTCTCCTGAGCTTATGCCATTGGGTTTAGCTCTCCCTCACCTACGCCACCAGGACCAGCTCTGCTGTGCTGCCCAGGAGAGGTGAGAGGCTGCTGTCATGCCCTTGAGACCAGCTCTCCTAGGGAGATTTTTATAAAGGGATTTTTATTTTATGTGTATGGGTGTTTTGCCTGCATGTCTATCTGTGTACCACATGCATGTAGTGCCCATGGAGGCCAGAAGATGGCATTGGATCCCTGGAACTGGAGTTACAAATGGTTGTGACTCATCATGTGGGTGCTGGGAATCAGACTGAGACCTCTGCCTGTGTCCTTACTGTTGAGCTATCTCTCCAGTCCCTTGGGAGATTTTCAATTACGGGTTCTAGCCCATTGAATGCTATGGGTCTATGTAAATTATCTCATCTTGACTTAGCTTTGGCGGATAAGATATGTCTAGAAATTAATCCTTTCCTTTTAGACTTTGACTTTGGTGGAATGTAGGTTTTTTTAAAAAATGAAATCTTTATGATTTCTTGCATTTTCTTAGTGTTTGTTGCGATGTCTCTAATTTTATTAGTTTGGATCCTGTCTTTCTTTTAGTTTATTTGGCTAAAGGTTGTGAATTGTGTTAATCCTTCAGAGAATCATCTGTGATGGTAATCTTGATTGTCAGCCTGACACATCTGGAACCAGCTAAACTTAAGCGGCTGGGAATATCTGTGAGGGATTGTGTTGACTGGACAAATTGGGATGGGAAGAGCCACCCTAACTCTGGACCACACCTTCTGGTGGCATGCCACTTGAAAGGACATGGAACAAGGAAGCTTTTGCTTTTTGCCTTCTTGCCCTCACTCTGGCTGGTTAGTTCATCTATCCTGTTGCTGACATTCCCTTGCTGGTGTTAGGATGTACTTTTTCAGGATTTCATTGTACCCTGAAGACCAGCTGAGACATCCAGCCTTGTGGATTAAACAACTACTGCATTCTTGATCTTTCAGTCAGGAGACAGCATTGTTGAATTAGCTGGACCACAGCCTGTAAACCACTGGGGGGGTGGGGGAGAATTGAGATTTAGAGAACCCTGGCTAATACAATCCCCAATTAAATCCTGTTCTGTTCAGTGACATAAGGTGAAAAATTCATTCCTAAAAGTATTAGTGAGAATGAAAGATTTTTTTTCAGTTTTTTTCTTTCTTTTTGGTAAGAGATTAAAGGTAGCCGAGGAGATGATTCAGTTGATAAAATGTTTGCTTTGCAAGCATGAGGACTCGAGTTCGCTCCCCCACACCCATGTACAGTGAGCCATGTGTGGTGGCATGTTTTCACACCAGTGCTGAGGAGGCAGGCAGGTCCCTGCGGTTTGCTAGCCAGCTATCTTAGATGGCTAGGCAAGTGCCAGGGCAGTGAAAACATGCCTCGAAACAAACAGGAAAACAAGAAAGGAAAAAATTGAGGAGCAGTGTCTGAGGGGCAATTATCTGAGCCTGTTCCCTGACCCTTCCCTCACACACGCACGTACCCACATGAATGTGTGAGCACATACACAAAGAGAGAACTTGATGGCTCCATGACAGCAACAAGAAAAATGACAAAGCACTCAGAAATGGAACAGGTCTAGGAGAGTCTAGGAAGAACCCTCCTGGGAGACAAATCTGTGCCTAAGAACGCGGGAGCAGTCACAGGCTGGAAACAGTTCTCAGTGCATCAGGAACCTCAGGGGGAGCAGAGCGGACAGAATGGATGTGTAGTAAGAAGGGATTTATTGGATTGGATTTTACGATATAGTCTAGGTACTCAACAATACTTGTTTCATATTAGAGGGTCAGGCCGAGAACTGGGTAGTCGCCGAGT